TATATATATATATGTATATATGTATATATGTATATATGTATCTATATATACGGATAGATAAAAGGAAGAAAGAATATAGAGAAAAGAAGATTAAACAAGAGACAAGAGGGAAAGAAAAGAAAAAAGGACAAGAAAAAAAAGAGAAAAAGTTGCTGTGAATAATAAATAATAAATATAAGAAAAGAAAAGAAAAGAAAAGGAAGAAGCATATGATTAGACCAATGAATAGAAAGTATTTGTAAATGACTAGACAAATAATAAAGAAGAAGAAAAAAACATAAAATAAATAAATAAATAAATAAATAAATATAAATATACATACCTATTAGGTATTTGTGGTACAGATAATGCAGCTAATATAGCAACATTAGCCATTTGATTTAATTGTTTAGGATTTAAATTTTTTCGAAAATTTTTCAAATGAAGAAAAAGACGAATTGTCGCCAAGGCATGAAATAAATAATTCTCACCAACCCAAAATACTCTACTCAATTTCTCATAAAATATTGATAACCATCTAGGTAACTTTTCTCTAGCTCGTGGGAATGGTTGTTGTTGTTGCTGTTGCTGCTGTTGTTGTTGCTGTTGTTGCTGCTGTTGTTGCTGTTGTTGTTGTTCTATAGTTGATTGAGTAGTTGATGATTGATTCGTATTACCTCCTGTTGATGATGATGATGCTGCTGCTGCTGCTGTTGCTGCTGTTGTTGATGCTGTTGTTGTATTGGATGAATATGCTGTTGGGGTGTAAGGAGAAGAACGAAGAGAACGAAGAAATAAATCATGGAGACCTAGATTATGTATATCTTCTGCTGTTGCTGCACATTCTCTCCATAATTCTAAATCAGCAGCAACAATTAATTGATGAATTCTTGTTTCTAGATGTAATTCAGGTTTAAATAATCCATCACCTCCAGCTGCTGCTGCTGCTGCTGCTGCAGCTGCAGCTGCAGCTGCTGCAGTACCACTACCACCTGCTGCAGCAGCAGCTGCAGCAGCTGCAGCTGCTGCTGCATCTATATCCTGCTGTTTATGCTTACTTTTTAATAATAATATAAAATGTAATCTTAATACCTCACATAATCTCTTGAATTCTTGCTGTCTCTTATATTCCTTACAAAAAGAAAATGCCCTTCTTGCTGTATCAAGATATACATTCTCCAATTTTGTTGTTGTACGTAATAAATCTAATATTATCTTATATACATCCCATTCAGCACGAAGTGCTTGATGTAAATTACGAGACTCAGCAGAACGAATGTCTACCTGTACATATACATATATTTATTTATATGTATATATACACCCCAAAACCCTAAACCCTAAACCCTAAACCCTAAAAACCCTAAACCCTAAAAAATTCAAAATTCAAAAATATTCATAATTCATTAAATATTATCTTATACATATAATATTCACATTTATTTATATTTATGTATTCTTTTATATAAACCCTAAACCCTAAACCCTAAACCCTAAACCCTAATTCTATTTACCTGTAATGTCGATAAAAGTAAATTCTCAGGTGTCTCGGCATCTACATCCAAATCCTCAGGTGCACTTGGCTCCTATATAAACACATAAACCCTAAACCCTAGGAAACCCTAATAATAAACCCTTATAAACCCTAAACCCTACGAAACCCTTATAATAAACCCTTATAAACCCTAAACCCTAAGAAACCCTTATAATAAACCCTTATAAACCCTAAACCCTACGAAACCCTTATAATAAACCCTTATAAACCCTAAACCCTACGAAACCCTTATAATAAACCCTTATAAACCCTTATAAACCCTAGGAAACCCTAAACCCTAGAGAGACAATAATAATCGGAAGGAATAAGCACATGAACAAATACATCACCAACAGCAGCAACAACACCAACAGCAACAGCAGCAGCAGCAGCAGCAAAAAGGACTAACAGCATCATTGCCAACTTTAGCTCTTGCTGCAGCAAGTCTTGCTTCTGCTCTTGTCCTTAGCTCAGCAACAACCTTCGCTAATGATTGAGCATTTGCATGCTGAGATACTATACGGTATTGGTGTAACCTGCAGCAGCAGCAGCAGCAGCAGCAGCAGCAACAGCAGCAGCAGTAGTTAGTTATGGATAAAGAGACAAAGAGAGGGGAAGGGACAAGACATAATATGTTATATATATTTCTAACAAACAATTGTTGCTGTTGCTGCTGTTTCTGCTGTCTCTGCTGCTACTGTTATTCCTCCTGCTGCTGCTGCTGCTGCTGCTGCTGCTGCTGCAGTATATAATGTACCCATCCTTAGCGAGTCTAAGTTTTCCTTCATCAACACAAAGTTGAACATGACGAAGCATAATCGCCTCCTGTACGGCGTCCCATCCTTGCGACCTGCGTATACACCCCAGATGCAGCAGCAGCAGCAGTATATATATATAGCAGCAAATAGAGCAGCAACAGCAGCAGATAATGCTGCTACTGTATTAGCAGGAGGAGGAGGAGAAGAAGAAGGAGAGACAAAAAAGACAATTAACAACAAAATAACATAAATATAATCTATTGTATCAATGCTTCTATACATGCAGCAACAACAACAGCAGCAGCTGCTGCTGTTGCTGCTGTTGCTGCTGCTGCTGAGACAACAGGAACAAGAGGACCACCACGACTGTATTGTATAAGAGGATAATAAGAAGAGGAGGAAGAGCAAGAACAGCAGCAGAAGAAGAAGAAGAGTTGCTGCTGTTGCTGCTACATTATAGATACGTCGTTGCTGCTGCTGTTAGGTCTATGGAGTGTATATATAAATATATATATATAATATAGGTATGTGTGTATAAACCCTTGATATAAATAAGAATATATGATAAATTTAGGGTTTAGGGTTTAGGGTTTATAAAAAAGAAAAGAATATATACCTGAATCTTTTATGTCCTATAGCAGCATGTAATATCTTGAGCGCCGCTTCCTGCTGCCCAATAGAGAGAAGCTCATTTGCCCTTTTTAGGGCATTTTCTGGCTTCTGGAAGCTTTGCATCTTATTAATAATAATAAATTAATCTAAATTAGAAGAAAAGGAACAAAAAGATGGGTTATAACCCTATTGTGGGGTGCAACAGAGGGGCAGGCTGCAGCAGCAGCAATTGCAGCAGCAGCAGCAGCGGTACCACCAGCAGCAACTGCAGCAAAATATTTGCAGCAGATGCAGCAACAGCACCACCACCCACACAGAAACACCCACTTATTTATTATATACAAACAAAACACATTTATTCGTACTACAGACACACATGCAACAAGACAGCAGCAGCTGCTGCAGCTGCTGCAACGGCTGCAGCTGCAGCTGCAGCAGCCGCTGCTGTTGTGATGCAGCAGCAGCCGTTGCTGCCGCTGCTGCTGCAGCAGCTACTACAACAGACGCAGCACCACCTCCTGCTGCTTTTTTTATCCTAAATACTATTTATTATTTATTTGCTTCTGCTGCTTTTCCTTCTATAAATATTGTTGCTGCTTCTTGCTGCTGCTGCTGCTGCTGCTGCTGTCTAGATACACTGGTATTCTAGCCTGATCTGCATGCACTGCAGTAGTAACCCCTCACTGCTGCTGCTGCTGCTCCTCTTGCTGCTGTTGTTGTTGCTGCTGCTGCAACAAAACCAAGAAATAAACGAGTAACATATAAGTAACAACTATTATAACGTATAATTAAGACATAACGCCAAACCCTAAACCCTAAACCCTAGCCCCATCGAAACCCCACCCTTCCTGTAAACCCTAGGAGGCTGCAACAGCAGCAGCAGCAGCAGCAACACCGGTGGTTTAGTGTTTATGGGGTTGCATGCATGGGGCTGCATGCATGCAATAGAAAAAGTTAATTAAATAATAAATAATTATATATAATTAATAAAGAAAAAGGAAAAAGTTAGCCTATCTATAGCTAAACCCTTTTCTAGGGTTTAGGGTTTAATTAGGGTTTAGGGTTTAAAACAAAAGGAACAAAGCAACAGCAACAACAGCTGTTGCAGCAAAAACGCTGCTGATGTTGCAGCTGCAGCACCAACTGCATGCAGCAGCAGCATTTGATGCAGCAACGGGAGCAGCAAGTCCTGCTGCTTCTGCTTCTGCTTCTGCTGCTGCTGCTGCTGCTGCTGCAGTGTACAGCAAATATATATATGCCGCTGTATGCGGCATCTAAAAAAATAAACAAAGTATACAAATTAAATATTTATTTATTTATTTATTTATTTATTTACTATTAATTAATTAATTAATTAAATATAAATTAAATATAAATTAATTAAATATAAATTAATTAAATTAAATATTAATTAAATATAAATAAGGAAAAGAAGAAGAAAGAAGAGAAAAGGGAGAAGGAAAAGCAGCAACAGCTGGTGCTGCAGCAGCAGCAGTTGTTGCTGCAGCAGCAGCAGTTGTTGCTGCAGCAGCTGTTGCTGCAGCAGCTGCAGCAGCAGCAGCTGCAGCAGCAGCGGGGAAAGGAGATAGCTATATAAAAAACAAAAGGAGACAGATAAATAAAAAAAGAAAAAAAAAAGAAAGAAAAGGAGACAGATACATAAAAAAGAAGAAAAAAAGGAGATAAATAAATAAATAAATAAATAAATAATAAAAAAAGAAAGAAAGAATAAGAAAAAACAAACAAAGGAGACAAAAAGGGAGACAGCTGCTTGTTGCTGCTGCTGCTGCTGCCCTTTTTGTTGCTGCATTTCGTGCTGCAGCAGCAAATGCTGCTGCTGCGACATTTCGGCTGCTGCTGCTGCTGCAGCTGCTGCAGCTGCTGCAGCTGCTGCAGCACTTCGGTTTCTTCTCCAGCCCTGCTTGTTGCTGCTGCTGCATGTCGGCTGCTGCTGCTGTTGCTGCTGCTCTGCTGCACCTGTTGCTGCAGCAGCAAGCAGAGAGAAGGGAGACGCTGGGTGTATACAAAAAAGCAAACACTAATTTAGGGTTTGCTATTCTCTATATAATGTACAAACCCTAAACCCTAAACCCTAAACCCTAATGAATAATACATAGGGAGGGGGCCAGCAGCAGCAGCAAAGCATCTGACCGCTTTAGGGCAATCTGATTTGTACTCTTCTGCTTCTCTCTCTGGGATCTTGCTGCTGCTGCTGCTGCTGCAGCAATACATTATCTGCTGCTGCTGCTGCTGCTGCTGTATTATGTTTAGCTGCTGCACCTCCAAGACGAATAGGAGACTGTCTCCTTTGCTGCATTTGCTGCACATGCGCATGCAAATCATTATTTAATTCAAATAATTCTTTTGCCTCTGCATGCAGCAGCAGCTCTATCTCCCCTAATTGTCTTATTGCCTCTACGTAGGCAGCAGCACTTAGACTATTCCCTGCTCCTCTCCTCCTGCTGCTGCTGCTGCTTGTTGTTGTGCTGCTGTTGATGGTCGTGGTCGTGGGGCTGCTGCTGCTGTTTATGTTGCTGCTGCTGCTGCTGCTGCTGCTGTTTGATGGGTGCTGCTGCAGCAAACCATCAACAAATGTTATTAAGGAATCTTGTGCAGCAGACACACGATCGAAGTACAGCAGCAGACCCTGCTGCTGCTGCTGCTCTTCTTCTTGCTGCAGCTCCTGCTGCTGCTGTTTGTCTATAGTACTGGTTGAACCTGTTCCTTTTGCTGCAGCAGCAGCAGCAGCAGCAGCAGCAGCAGCAGCACCTGCAGCAGCACCCTCCCATATCCTCTTTAGTGCCTTAAAATTTCTTGCAACTCTCCTCATCTCTGCAACAGCTGCATGCAGCTGCTGCAGCACCTCCTCTGATGGCTGCTGCTGCTGCTGCTGCTGCTGTTTTAGCTGCTGCAGCAGCTCACTATAGGGGCCCCCTACATATGGACCTCCTTGGGTACCTGGGGGGCCCCCAGGGAACCTCTTTAAAGCCCCAAATGCCTTGTTGCATGCAGCACGCCAGGCAGAGGAGTCGCGCTGCAGCTGCGAGGTGAAGAAGCGTCTTATTAATTCATACTCTCCTTCTTCTTCCTGTTGCTGCTGCTGCTGCATGTCTTGCTGCTGCTGCTGCTGCTGGTCTTGTTGGATATGGGGAGGAGGGGTTGGAGGGGAAGGAGGGGTATCCTGCTGCTGCTGAGGAGCAATCTGCTGATTCTGTTGGTGCTGCTGCCGCTGCTGCTGCTGCCTATTAATAAACATGCCATTAACAGCTGCATGCAGCAGCAGCTGCATCAGCAGCAGCACGCCAAGGGCACGCAGCAGCAGCGTCATGGGTGGGGCTAGTCTGCTGCCTTTAGCTCTTTGTTGTGTTCTTCCATCAGCTAGGTTTGCTGCTGCCGCTGCAGCAGCAGCAGCAGCGGCAGCAGCAGCAGCAGCTGCTGCTGCTTCAGCCGGTCTTAGAGGCTTGTAGTCCTGTGCTGCGCCGCTCCATCTGCCGCCGCGCAGCAAGAAGACATGGGGCTCCTCAGTAAGGTTGCTGGTGCTGCTGCTGCTGTTGCTGCTGCTGCTGCTGCTATCCTCCTCATAGAGAGACCAACCACCCGTGAGGGGACCCGTCTGGGTGGCGGCAGACTCCTCGTAGACACCCGACTCCATGGCTACTAGACCCTAAACCCTAAACCCTAAACCCTAAACCTCGAAAAACGCTTAGAAGTACAGAAATTAGTCAAGTACAAGAAGCAATAAACCTTAAAAAACCCTAAACCCTAAACCCTAAACCCTCGGGCCGCGTTGCCCACGAGGAGCTCACGCCCGCAGCAGAGGAAGGCGAAGCGGTGGAAGACGGGATTAGGGTTTAGGGTTTAGGGTTTATAAGCGGTTTAGAAGGAAAAGAGGGAATAAAAAAGAAAAAGAATTAATATATAAAAGAATAAATTATAAGAAAAGGACAAGAATAAGAAAAGGAAGAAGGAGAGAGCGCAGGAGGCCGCAGAAGGTCTCAAAAGAGGCGGTGAGCGAGGAAGGGAGCTCTGAGGCAAACCCTAAACCCTAAACCCTAAACCCTAAACCCTAAACCCTAGAAGACCTTAAATTAAACACTATAAACACCTGAAACTTTTATACTGGCAAACAAACAGAGGAGGAAGAAACCCTCGCCTTCAACACGGCGACTCAGCCCCGGGAGGCACCCAACAACCTCCAGGCAAACCCTAAACCCTAAACCCTAAACCCTAAACCCTAAACCCTAGTTTCTACAGGAGTCAGAATACTCCCTATTCTCTTATTTATTCATTAAAAATAAACATTTGCTGCTTGCTGCTGCTAGCTCTATACAGCAGCAGCAGCAGCAGCGAGCACCATTCAACTCACGGGCTCTGTCTTCGACAAACCCCTGCTGCTGCTGTTGCTGCTGTCCTTGCTGCTGCTGTTGCTGCTATTGCTGCTGCAGACACCGAATGTTTTTTCCTGTATTTGTTTAATCTAGTTGTTGTTGCTGCTGCTGCTGCTAGGAAGGAAGAAGAAACTTAATAGAAGGAAATAAAACTATAAACAGCAGCAGCAGCAGCAGCAGCAGCAGCAACTCTCGATTTGCTGCTCGTCTTCCTTGCATGCAAATGCAGCTGCCGCCCACATTGTCTGTCTGTGTTGCTGCTGCTGCTGCTGCCGTCTACACTGTCTGCATGGGCTGCTGCTGCTGCTGCTGCTGTTGCTCCAGTGTCTACAGCAGCAGCAGCGAGCTGCCAACTCTGCTTCTGTGTACACTGTCTGCATGAGCTGTTGCTGCTTCTGCTGCTGCTGCTGCTGATTGAGGGACAGCAGCAACAGCAGCAGCAGCGCATGCAAAAGCAGCATACACCTCACCTTATGTGTCCCTATATAAAGAATCGATGTCTACTGTCTCCTTTTAGCAGCAAAGTGTCTCCTTCTGTCTCCTCCTGTCTCCTTCTGTCTCCTTGTGTCTCCTTCTGTCTCCTTGTGTCTCCTTCTGTCTCCTTCTGTCTCCTTGTGTCTCCTTCTGTCTCCTTGTGTCTCCTCCTGTCTCCTCCTGTCTCCTCCTGTCTCCCTCCTGTCTCCTTCTGTGTCTCCTCCTGCATCTCTTTTTGCGTCCTTTTGTGTCTCTCCTTCTGTCTCCTCAAGTGTCTCCTCTTGTGTCCCTTTAGGTGTCTCCTCCTGTCTCCTTTCCTGTCTCTTCTGCTGTCTCCTCTACTGTCCCCTCCACTGTCTCCTCTACTGTCTCCTTCAGTGTCCCCTCTACTGTCTCCTCTACTGTCTCCTTTCCTGTCTCCTCTACTGTCTCCTTTCCTGTCTCCTTTCCTGTCTCCTCTACTGTCTCCTCTACTGTCTCCTATTTAGGTGTCTCCTCTACTGTCTCCTTTTAGTGTCTCCTTTTGTCTGTGTCTATGTATGCAATAAAGGAGACAAAGAAGAAAAAAATATTATTTAATTAAATAAATAAACAAATGGCAATAATAAATAGATAAAAAAAGGAGAAATAAATAAATAATAAATATAATTAAATAAATTATTATTATTAATTCTTATAATAATAATTATTAGTAAAGAAAAAAGTTTAGAAGTTTATTTTGCGGTTGCTGCTGCTGCTGCAGAACTGCAGCAGCAGCAGCAGCAGCTCTGTAGCAGCAAAGCAATCTGCTGCAGCACAGCGAACAACTCTGCTACGTAACTTCTGTTGCAGCAGCAGCAGCTGCTGCTGCTGCTGCTGTTGCTGCTGCTGCAGCAACAGCTAACTGATACTTCATTTTCCTCTTTAATAGCAGAGAAGGTAGTAGCTCTTAATTTGCTGCTGCTGCTGCAGTTGCTGCTGCTGCTGCTGCTGATAATGGACTTACGGAGGATATGCATGCTGCTGCTGCTGCTGCCAGTGCATCTGATGATCCCACTGCTGCTGCTGCTGCTGCTGTTGTTGTTGCTGCTGGTCCCAAGCTGCAGCTCTTTGCCAATCTCTTTGTTGCATCCATTTGCCCTCATGACTCTGTTGCATTTGTTGCTGCTGCTGTTGCTGCTGCTGCTGCTGCTGCTGCTGCTGCTGCTGCCTGCTGCTGCTGTATAGACCCGAGGACTCGTCCTCTAATTCCCCTTTTAATTTTAATTGTTTAAAGAAAGTACGATGATCTATTGGAGGCCCATGACCCTCCACAAAATTACCTAAAAAAAATTTACACACAAACCCTAAACCCTAAACCCTAAACCCTAATTCACCATAAACCCTTGCAGAACTACCGCTTAAGAGGTAGATGGGTGGCACGGTCAACAGCAGCAGCAGCACAAGTGCAACGGCAGGTGCTCGTGGTGATGCTGCTACTGTCCCTGCATGTTGGGTGCTGGATAGGTGCTGCTGCTGCTACTGCTGCTTTGCTGCCGGTGTTGTACTGTTTGCTTGTGCAGCAGCAGACCGGCAGACTGCTGCTGCTGCTGCTGCTGTCCTTGCTGCTACTATTTGTTGTGGGGCCTCTACGCACCGTCCAAGAAGGCTTCTGAAGGTTTTGCATGCAACTTGGAGCAAAGGAGAGCACCTAGTGCCGGTGGCAGCTCCTGCAGCAGCAGCAGCAACAACAGCAGCAGCAGCAGCAACAGAAGGAATGTTTGTTGTCGCCTTCTCTCTTCTTTTGTCATGCTACCAGCAGCTGCCATGTCTCGTTGCAGCAGACACCCTAATTATATAATATATATTATATAATATATGCATGCATGCATGCACGCAATTGCATGTCTGAGTAGCAGGTACTGATTAGTGTTTGTCTCCTTTTCTCGCTGCTGCTGTAAAGCAGGAGGAGGCACTTTATATAAAAGTGTCTCCTTCTGCTGCTATATCTCTCTGCCTCTCCTTGTCTGTCTCTGTATCTTTCTTTCGTCTCTACTTTATCTGCTGCTGCTGCTGCTGCTGCTGCTGCTGCAAACTAAACTTTCTTAAGACGCCCTTGCACCGCAGGTTGGTGCTGTTTAGGTTCATCAGTTCCTTATACAAGATCTGGGATCGTTGGGATCGTGTCTGGGATCGTTTGGATCGTTGGGATAGTGTATGGGATCGTTGGGATAGTGTAAGGGATCGATGGGATCGTGTGTGGGATCGTGTATGGGATCGTGTGTGGGACTGCGCATAAGATAGTATATGGGATCGTGTATGGGATCGTGTATGGGACCGTGTATGGTATCGTGTATGGGATCGTGTATGGGATCGTATATGGGACCGTGTATGGGATAGTGTATGGGATAGTGTATGGGATCGTTGGGATCGTGTATGGGATCGTATATGTGGGGTAGAAAAATATATACGGACAGTTCCATCTCTACTTTTTTTTAGAGGTAAATCATCATTCCATGGATTTGTAATTTTTCCAACTTCTTCAAATTCTAATTTTGATTGTTTTAACCAGCATACACGAAAATTTGCACCCAACTTTAATTGGACTGGGCCCCATAGACCTGCAGCAGCAGCAGCAGCAGCAGCAGCAGCAGCAGCAGCAGCACCAGCAGCAGCAGCAGCACCAGCAGCAGCAGCAGCAATCAGCAGCAGCAATAACAGCAACAGCAATGGGAGGGGTAGGAGTAGTCTAGTAATGGTGGTAGGAGCAAGGGGGGAAGAGGCAAACAGCAGAAAGAGGGACATAGTGCGCAGCTGCAGCAGCAGCTGCTGCAGCAAAGGAGAAGGGACACTTCCTTCCGTGGCAAGAAACATAACAACAAAATATAAACCCTAAACCCTAATTACAACACAAACCCTAAACCATAAACCCTAAGAACCAATGATATGGCCAAAGAAGAGGAGGAGAGGAAAAACAAACAGCAATACAGCAAAAGGAGACACACAGGAAAAGGAGACAGTAAAGGAGACAGTAACAAAAGGAGACACCAAAAGGAGACACCAACAAAAGGAGAGAGTAAGAAAAGGAGACAACAATAAAAGGAGCCAATAAAAAAGGAGACAATAAAAAAGGAGACAATAAAGGAGACAAAAAAAGGAGACAGAAAAGGAGACAGCAAAAGGAGACACAAATAAAAGGAGACAGTAGAGGAGACAGCAAAAGGGGACAGAAATAAAAGGAGACAGGAAGAGGAGACAGAGATAAAAGGAGACACAAATAAAAGGAGACAGTAAAGGAGACAGTAAGAGGAGACAGGAAAAGGAGACAGTAAGAGGAGACAGTAAAAGGAGACAGTAAAAGGAGACAGAAATAAAAGGAGACAGTAAGAGGAGACAGCAAAAGGAGACAGTAAGAGGAGACAGTAAGAGGAGACAGCAAAAGGAGACAGTAAGAGGAGACAGTAAGAGGAGACAGTAAGAGGAGACAGTGTGTGTATATACATATATATATTCATACGTGGATGTAGATGAGGTAGAGGGGGAGTCATCATTCTTGCATAACCTTGGAACCCTCCGCTCTCATTAGCAGAGAATAGCAGCAAGACATGAGCAGCAGCAGCAAATGCTGCTGCTAATCTTCTTGTATTGCTGCGGCTAGTTGCCCAGCAACCACGATGAATAGATAAATATATATTATACATTTTATTAGATTTAATTATAAAAAATCTTTTGCTGCTGTCTGCTGCTGCTGCTATACCTAATGGATCTACTAATAAGGGTACATATAAACCTTCACCAGTACTATTATTACTGCTGCTGCTGCTGCTGCTGCTGCTGCTGCTGCTCGTCGTCATCGTTGTCGTGCTCGTGGCGGTCGTTGTCATGCATGCGCTGCTGTCGTTCGTTGGGTTCGTTTGCATGCTGCCGTCGTGGGTCGTGTCGCCGTTACGGGGGGAGGAGGATTGCTGCTGCTGCTGCTGCTGCTGCTGCTGTTGCTGTTGTTGCTGCTGCTGCTGCTGCTTCTGCTGCAGCTGTCTTACCTGTGCAGCAACTCTGTCTAATGCTGCCTGTGTTAGAGGATCAACTGTCTGAGGGAATACATCCTGCAAACAACCAGCAGCAACACATGCAGCAGCAACAACAGCAGCAGCAAATCCAACAGCAGCAGCAGCAGCACCAAGTGTTGCAGCACCTATTGCTGCAGGAGACTATGTAACAGAAAAATAATCTTACAGCAGCATCTGCTGCTGCAGCAAGTACAGCAGCAACGGATTATGTAGCAGCAGCAAGTGTTGCAGCAGTAACTCTTGCTGCAGCAAGTGTTGCAGCAGCAATCGTAGCAACAGCAAATGCAGCAGCAGCAGCAGCAGCAAATGCAGCAGCAAATGCAGCAAATGCAGCAGCAGCATATGCAGCAGCAGCAATTGTAGCAGCAACAAATGTAGCCGCAGCAAATGTAGCAGCGAATGGACTTCCAAGACCATCGCTATGTCGGCATCCCAAACCCTAAACCCTAAACCCTAAACCCTAAACCCTAAAAGCCCTAAACCCTCGACGCACAACGCTTAGAGCCTCCGTCTTAACCCTAAACCCTAAACCCTAAACCCTAAACCCTACTGGACCCTACTAGGTCCTAGTAAACCCTATGGGGCCCTACTGACCTCGAATGTAAACCCCAATAACCCCACCTAAACCCTAAACCCTAAACCCTAATAAACCCTAATAAGCCCTATTAAACCCTAATAAACCCTAACGTACTTCTTAACAACCCTCCTAAACCCTACAGTAAACCCTAGTATATATAAACCCTTATTTTATAATAAGGGTTTATATATAGTAGGGTTTATAGTAGGGTACCTACTATAAACCCTTCCTATAAACCCTTGCTGTAAACCCTACTATAAACCCTAATATATACCCTCGTAAACCCCCGTAAATATTCGTAAACCCCCGTAAACCCTCGTAAACCCTCGTTCAACCTCGTAAACCCTTGTAAACCCCCAAAACGCCTGTAAACCCTCGTACACCTCGTACAACCTCGTAATTCCTTCGTAAACTCCCGTAAACCCTCGTTCAACCTCGTAAACCCTCGTAAACCCCCGTAAACCCTCGTAAGCCCTCAAAACCCCCGTAAACCCTCGTAAACCCTCGTAAACCCTCGTAAACCCTTGTAACCCCTGATAAACGCCCCAAAACTCTCGTAAACCCTCATAAACCCTAATAAGCTCTCGTAAACCCTCGTAAACCCTAATAATTGTTGATAAACCCTAATAAACCCTATAAAGAAGTTATTGATGGTGTGTATAGTGTATATAGTGGATAAGAAAAGGACCTTAAAGTTAGCGACGACGGCCTCAAGGAACCAATTAGGGCACAACTCCGGTAGACGAGTCCTTGGTTGGGGTGTATGCTTCCTCTTGCAGCGGGGGCCCTGCTTACAGAAGCCAAATAGATAATGTAGACATTCTTGCTGCTGCTGCTGCTGCTGCTGCTGCTGCTGTAAATAATTACTTATACCACTGCTGCATAATAAACCGCTAACTGATGAACCCAGCAAATCCTCTACTGTCTCCGATTGCTGCTCGTGGCGGTACACGCAACAACCCCTGCAGCAGCAGCAGCAGCAGCAGCAGCAGCAGCAGCAGCAGCACATATACAATCAATATGATAGCTGCAACAAACTACACAGAAATAGTGCATGCAGGAACAGCAGCAGCAGCAACAGCAGCAACACCCACAAAAAGCAGCTGCTGTACCATCGTCCATCATCATCAGCAACACCAACAGCAGCAGCAGCAACAACAGCAGCAGCAGCAGCAACAGCAGCAGCAGCATACGTACCTTGCTGCATCGATACAGGTACCATCATTACGGCATTTAGGCATACGGGAGTAAATAACTCTATGAAGGAAATCGCATGCAGCCCCACGCATGCATGCGCCACGCCACCAGTGTCTGCATACTACACTATGCCTCCCTCTTGCTGCAGCAGCAACAGAGTCACTCCCTTGTACACCTTGCTGCAGCAGCAACTCTTGCTGCTCTTGCTGCTGCTGCTGCAGTTGGGCCTCAAAATAAAAACGGGTACGAAGATAACGAGGAACTGATGTTATTAATGATGCTGCTGCTGTTGATGTTGCTGCTATTGAGCTGCTGCTGCTGCTGCTGTTTGCTGCTGCTGCTGATAAGAATGCTGCAGCAGCAGCAGCAGCAGGACCTTGAGGTAAAGAAAATGATGAACGAGGATAATCCTCACGATAAGAAAGAGACCCTGTATCCATCTCGTCTTTTTGCTGCAGCAGCTGCTGCAGCAGCGGCCGCTGCTGCTGCAGCCGCTGCTGCTGCTGCTGCTGCAGTTGTTGCTGCTGCTGTTGTTGTTGCTGCTGTTGCTGCTGCTGCTGCTCTTGCTGCTGTAGGTGGTGATTGAATGGATAAGGGAGAGTGCTGCCGCTGCCGTCTGTACTTCCTTCACTGACAGTGTGTAAAATATTTTTGCTGCTGCTGCTGCTGCGGCGGCTGTTCCCACGGTTGCTGCTGCTGCTGCTGCTGTTGCTGTTGCTGCTGCTGCTGCAGCATGGGATGCACCTGCTATTGTCGCTGTGATTACTGCAGCAATATTTGTCTCTTCTTTTGCTGCAGCTTCTGTTAAAGTTGCAGCTATAGCTGCTGATACTGCAGCAGCAGGAGCTGCTGCTGCTGCTGTTGCTGCTGCTGCTGCCCTACGCCGCAGAAGGTCCAGAGGGCGCAGCGGAGAGGGTTTGCTGTTGACTAGCAGCAGCCGCAGCAGCCACAGAAAAATGAAGTTATAATAATCAAACCCTAAACCCTAAACCCTAGACCCTAAACCCTAGTTAAATACCTTTTGCTGCTGCTGCTGACGGCGGGGCTTCTTTTTGTATCGCATGCACGGCAGCCCCGATGAGGCAGCAAAACCTTAAACCCTAAACCCTAGAAAATAAACCCTAAACCCTAAACCCTAAACCCTCAACAAAGGATTTTGTAGGGTTAGATGATTATCTCCTGCTGTGTTGGACGGCCACAATGACTAACCGGCTTGCAGCAGCAGCAGCAACAACTGCTGCAGCAGCAGCAGCAGCAGCAGCGCGAGGGGCTGGTCTCGCCAGAGTGTATCGCTGCAACAGCAGCATCAGCAGGACGATCAGGTCATTCTCAACAACAGCAGCAGAAGCACACACACAATCGCCTGCAACAGCAGCAGCAGCTGCTGCTGCTGCGCCTCCAACAGCTGCAGCAGACTCAAGGAGGACAGCAGCAGCAGCAGCAGCAGCAAAGAAGGCGAAGGTACGAATCGCCCCTCTATCAGCAGAAGAGCTCAGCAGCATGAAGGATATAGTGTGTGCTGCTAATACTGCATTCCTCGGCAGCAGCAGCAGCAGCAGCAACAACAGCAGCAGCAACAGCAGCAGCATGTATAGAGTGTTTCTTGGACGGACTCCCGTTAGAACTACTGAGGGAATTGATTTGCTGCTGCCGTCTCTTGCTGCTGCTGTTGCTGTTGCAGCAGAAGGCATGCGTGTACACCATACGGTGCTGCAGCAGCAGCTGCAGGAGCCGCAGCAGCGGCTGCCGCTGCATCTGTTGAGGCGGCCCTTGACTGGCCTTCTTGCCTATGCACAGGACATTTCTCTGCAGCAGCAGAAGCAGCAGCAACAGCAGCAGCAGCAGCAAGTGCAGCAGCAGCAGCAGATAATAGAGGAGCTGCTCAAGTATATAGAGGCAGACACGGCCTTATGCCGCGAGTCTCCTCCTTCTGCTGATTCTTTGCTGCAGCAGGAAGCAGCAGCAGCAACAGCAGCAGCAGCAGCAGCAACAACAGCTGCAGCAGCAACATCAGCAGGCTTAGGTACAGCAGCAGGTTTGCTGCAGCGTCGCTGCAGCAACTTGCAGGTGCGCAACGCCGTGCTGCAGCAGGAGCAGCAGCTGCTGCAGCCAATTGTTGCTGCATTCAGCAGCAGGAGAGCTGCTGCAGTAAACACTAGCGAAGGTATTCGTGCTGCTGTACAAACCCCACAGACACTGCAGGTAAACCCTTAGGGTTTAGGGTTTGCTGCTTGAGGGTTTAGGGTTTGCTGCTCGAGGGTTTAGGGTTTGCTGCTCGAGGGTTTAGGGTTTCCTGCTCGAGGGTTTAGGGTTTGGTGTATGAGGGTTTAGGGTTTATAAAACCCTTGGCGGTTGTATCTAAGCTACTCCCTGTTAATTTTGTTGTTCGCTGTGTTGTGTGTGCTGCTGCTGCTGCTGTTGCTGCTGTTGCTGCTGCTGCAGCGTCTACGTGAGTGTCTAAGCTCATTAACTTTGCTGCAGTTGGTGTGTCTGCAAGCAGCAGCAGGGCAGCTGCGCTCTGTTCTTATAGCAGACGAGCTCCTATTTGGTACAGCTCTGCAGCAGCAGCAGCAGCAGCAGGATCCTGCTGCTGCTGCTGCTGAGACGGATACTTCTGCTGATGCTGCTGATGCTGCTGATGTTGCTGCTGTTGCTGGGGGAGATGCAGCACCTCCTAGTGCAGCAGCAGCAGCTGCTGCTCATATGCAGGAGTTAGCAGCAGCACTTAGAGGTGACGTTGCTGCCTCCCCATTTGAAGCATCAGCATCTGCTGCTGCTGCTGCTGCAGCAGCAGCAGCAGCAGCAGCAGCACAGAGGGCATGGGAAGCAAGCTCTATAGAAGCAAGAGTGCAGCAGCAACACTTTGGCTTAGTAGAGGGGACACATGATGCAGAAGCAGCAGAAGCATTATTATGGATAATTGCAGCAAAAACTGCTGTCTCCTTATTCTAAATGCATGCGCTCCTGCTGCTGCTGCTCCTCCTCCTGCTCCTGCTGCTGTTGCTGGTGGTGGTAGTTATGGTGCTGCTGTTGCTGCTGCTGTTGCTGCTGGTAAACAGAAGGGTTTCAATAGGAAAGGGAGTTCCTCTTTACTGCAGCAACTGCAGCAGCAGCAGCAGCAGCAGCAGCACGTACAGCAGCAATAACAATCGTGACAGTGGCGACAGTATTACCACCACCAACAAGAGCAGCAAAATGATTAGCAGCAACACCAATATCAGCAAAGACAACAGCAGCAACAGCAGCAGCTGCTGCTGTTGCTGCACCGTTTATATAGCAAAGAGGCAGCTATAGGCATATAAATAAAACCTTTATATTTGTTTTATTTTTATTATTTAATTATTAATTTAATTACTATTTATTTATTACTTCTTTTTTTGCTGCTGCTGCTGCGCGAGCCTCCTACACAGACTAGCGGTCGTGGGGCTGCATGCACACAGCAGGAAGAGCAGCAGCAGGAAGAGCAGCAGCAGCAGCAGCTGAAGAATTGAGTCTATTTTCCCTATATTAGTACACATAGGCCACAGAGAGAGCCTACAGAGACCCCTCCGGCAGCAGCAACAGCAGCAGCAGCAGCATGCGCTGCTGCTGCTGTTGCCTTAGCAGCAACAGCAGCAGGCCTTAGAGCAACCAAAGACACAGTGGCGGCAGCAACAGCAACAGCATCTGCAGCAGTTACCTCTTCACAATGGCTGCTGCAGCAGGCACTGCAACAGCAGCAGCAGCAGCTGCTGCAGATTGCATGCAGCCTAATTTATTAACTGTACACTATTTCCCCTGCAGTCTTCCTCCCTCCCAGAGGAAGAGCAGCAGCAGCAGACACAGGAACCAGCAGCAGCAGCAACAGCAGCAGCAGCAGCAGCAGGAAGTATTTCTAGATCCGTTGCTGCTAGCCTTCCGGGTGTATGCAGCAGTTAGCGGCGTAAAGGTGCTGCTGCAGCCGGACCTTTGCTGCAGCAAGCAGCAGCAGCTGCCTGCTGCTGTATTTAATGGTGGAATAGTAAAAGGGGATGAGTTGCTGCTGCTGCTGCAGTTGCGGCAGCCTTTAAGTAGCAGCAGCAGCAGCAGCAAGACAGCAGCAGAACGCATGCAGCAACAGTATCTAGAGAGTCTCCTTACTGCAACAATTAAGGGGCCCCTCTATCGTGCTGTCTCCTTTTTTCTTTTTCTTTATCCTCCTTGCATGCAGCAATTTACTGTCCCTTGTCTCCGTGCTGCTGCTGCTCCTATGCTGCAGGCTAAGCTGCATGCACGGCAGCAGCAGCAGCTGCTGCAGCAACAGATAGGACATCTGCAGCTACGCGATGCGCTGCTGCTGCTTATTGAGGCCTTACACTCTATCCGTGTCTTGAGTCATCTAGAGACCCTTCCTGCAGCAGCAGCAGCAGCAGCAGAACAAGAAACAGCAGCAGCAGCAGCAGCAGCAGCAGATTTTAGCTGCTGCAGCAAAGGGAGACACTTATTAGTGCATGCAGCAGATATATCTGTTGCAGATATTCTGCTGTATGCGCACCTCTCCGTGCTGCTGCAAATACCTAAAGGTGCTGCACCTTGGAAACGCAAAAGGCAGCAGCAGCAGCAGCAGCAGCAGCAAGAGAAGCAGCAGCAGCAGCAGCAAGAGAAGCAGCAGCAGGACGAGGTAAGCAAGATTGGTGAGGTTGGTAGCTCAGAGGAGCGGCTGCCACAGACGGAGCAACCAGCAGCAGCAGCAGCACCAACAGCAGCAGCAACAGCAGCAGCAGCAGCAGATAGCGATTTGCAGCTAGAGGTAGATTCTTTAGACAGCAGCGACGCAGATGATTTGCTGCTGCTGCAGCAACTGCAGCAGCAGCTGCACTGGGCTAAGCTGTATGTGCAACTATTCGAGCAGCACCTCTCTATACACAACAGGAGAGCAGCAGCAGCAGCAGCAACAGCAGCAGCAGAAGGGACTGATGCTGCAGCAGATGAGCAGCAGCAGCAGCAGCAGCAGCCAATTCCTATGTATGCATCTTCTTACACCTATCGTATCTGTCGCTGCCCTCCTGGCAGCAAGAAGACCTGCCGCTGCAGCAGGACACCAAGCAGCAGCAGCAGCAGCAGCAGCAGCAACGCCAGCAGCAGCAGCAGTTCTTACGATGTAAAGGTACAAACACAAGAGTTCGTGCTGCTGGCAGCAACTGCTGCTGCTGTTGCTGCAGGCTTCCTGCTGCACCGTATGGGGGCCCTGCAGGGCTTGCGACGCCTGTTCTAACTCTTTGCTGCTGCAGCAGCAGCAGCAGCAGCAGCAATGCCTGCATACAGCTGGTAGACTGTTAAGAACTTTCTCTCTTTTTTTTCTTTTTAGTCCCCTCTTAGGGTTTAGGGTTTAGGGTTTAGGGTTTACGCCATATGGTTGTCTTCATAGGAAAGTCTGCTGTTGCTGTTGCTGCTGCTGCTGCTGTTACTACTACTACTGCTGCTGCTGCTGTTACTACTACTACTACTACTGCTGGTACTGCTGCTGCTACTGCTGCTGCTGCTGCTACTACTGCTGTTGCTGCTTGCGGGATGTGTGCCGAGCAAATCATTCTTGAGGGTTAGCCGCATGTTGTCCATAGAAGCAGTAGCAGCAATGCCTGCTGCTGCTGCTGCTGCTGCAGCAGCAGCAAGGGCAGCAGCAGCTGCAGCTGCTGCTGCAGAAGTTAGAGTTGTTTGTGTGTCTCCCCCTTATATTTTTTATGTGTCTCCTTTCTCTTTGTTGTATCTAGACCCAAATCTTGTCAATATATTTGCTACTGTTACTACAAGGGTTTAGGGTTTAGGGTTTAGGGTTTAGGGTTTACGATTTAGGGTTTAGTATTATTTTCCTTCTCTAGCTGTCTCTATGCAGCAACCACAGCAGCAGCGTGAGGAGCAGCAGCTGATGCAGCAACAGCAGCAGAAATAAAAAGGATTAGCTATTGCTGTTGCTGTCCCTGTTGTTGCTGTTGCTGTTGCTTATCACTATGAGGCAGCAGCAGCAGCAGCTGCACATACACCGCAGACACGAGGAGGGGGGGGGGAAG